TCTCTCCGTCTGGCTGTCTCTCCGTCTGGCTGTCTCTCCGTCTGGCTGTCTCTCCGTCTGGCTGTCTCTCCGTCTGGCTGTCTCTCCGTCTGGCTGTCTCTCCGTCTGGCTGTCTCTCCATCTGGCTGTCTCTCCGCGTGGCCATCTCTCCATCTGGCTGTCTCTCCGTCTGGCTGTCTCTCCGTCTGGCTGTCTCTCCGTCTGGCTGTCTCTCCGTCTGGCTGTCTCTCCGTCTGGCTGTCTCTCCGTCTGGCTGTCTCTCCATCTGGCTGTCTCTCCGCGTGGCCATCTCTCCATCTGGCTGTCTCTCCGTCTGGCTGTCTCTCCGTCTGGCTGTCTCTCCGTCTGGCTGTCTCTCCGTCTGGCTGTCTCTCCGTCTGGCTGTCTCTCCGTCTGGCTGTCTCTCCATCTGGCTGTCTCTCCGCGTGGCCATCTCTCCATCTGGCTGTCTCTCCGTCTGGCTGTCTCTCCGTCTGGCTGTCTCTCCGTCTGGCTGTCTCTCCGTCTGGCTGTCTCTCCGTCTGGCTGTCTCTCCGTCTGGCTGTCTCTCCATCTGGCTGTCTCTCCGCGTGGCCATCTCTCCATCTGGCTGTCTCTCCGTCTGGCTGTCTCTCCGTCTGGCTGCCAGGGTGCAGGGGCATGTGAGATTTCAGCAGACAAGGCGCAGAGAGCAAGGTGGGGCCCCGGCGGTGGCACGTGGGGCTCCTGCGCGCGCGGCAGGCTGTCGGCCCCCCCGGGGTGGCCAGATTTGCAGGCAATGGCAGGGCACCCCGCCGAACCTCAGTTTCGGTTAGACGGTGCCTAGTGCTTTGGTGTAGATGTGCTGTGTGACATGGCTGGACGCGGGGAGAGGGCCGTGTGGGGGGCGCCCCCTTCCCCTGCCCAGAGGCCCCCCAGGGGCCTCGTCATGATTCTCTTAAACCGCAGGGTGGCTTTGATAAGATACAGTCACCGCGTGGGGAATCTCTTAGAAGAATAAGTCCTTTATCCGAGCTCCCGTCCTCCAGGTAAACCCCACAAGAGGAACAAGAGAAAAAAGAATGATGTGGCGGTTTTTCTGAGCCGCCTCTGTGTCGAGGCGGATCGAAGGGCTTGTGAAAGCTGTTCAGGGTGTTGTCAGTCCGTCCCCGAGGGTCTGCGACCTCGCTTGTCCCCGCGGGGGGCACCCCTCCTGCAGCGGTCCCCGCTGGCCCCCACGTTGGATGGAGGAAGCGTTCGTTGGACTATCCGATGAGCAGGGATGACCTTCAAAAACGAGGCACACAAACGATCCCCCGAGAAGGCCGCCACCTCGCGGGGTCCCCTGACCCCGGCATCTCTGTGACAGAGTCCCGTGTGAGGACGGAAAGCACAGGCCGGGGCGACTCGCCGTGTGCCTGGCTTTGAGATGGCGCCGTGTCCCTAACGTGAGGTCCTCGCTTGTCGCCAACGCACTCGTGGTTCGGGGGGGACCTCGGCACAGACGTGTGCATGGGGGCCGGGGACCTGCCGGCCACTCTTTCACGCACGGCCAGTGGGTCGCGTGCCGTGCGTTCCGTCCCATCAGGCAGACAGAACCGGCATCCACACTTTAAAAAAATCCTACCTTACTTTCACCAACTGCAGCCGAGTTATTAGAACGATTTATGCAAATTAGCATATTTTTATCACGGGCAAGCCACCTGTGGCCTGCTGTCCCTGGTCCTGGCCAGTCTGAGCCACAGGGTCCTGCTCTGTCCTCAGAGCTCCTGAGGGGGGTGAGGTCCGAGACAGTAGCACCTTTGCGGCCACCTTCTCTGGGCGGTGGCTGATGCGGGTCCCAGCTGAGGTGCTAAAGCCACATAGGGGGCGTGGCCTGGCTCCCGTGTCGGCTGTGAGCACCGAGTCGTCTCGTTCTGAGAGGTGCCTGTACCCTGGGAGAGCATCGGGGATTTAAATAGCATCTTCCTCCAAGATGCCGGGAGCCCAGGTCCCCATGGGCCTCTGAGCATAATTCAGACGCGTGTCCCCTGCCGCCCACCCCCATGCCTCCCGGGAGAGGGATTAGATAGAGCACCAGACGGACCCCCTGAGGAGCAGGCACAGGCCCGGCTCCGCCCGGCACACAGCCTGGTTCTCTATGGGGAGCCGTGGTTGCCATGGCGATGAGGGGCAGTTGGGATGGTGTTAGAAAATGCTACCGGGCAGGGAGGGCTGAGTCGACAGACGCTTTGGGGAGAGGCTGCCATCGTCGGTGGACCTGCGGCCTTGTGTCGTCCATGGTCACCACGTCCCGGGACCCCACGCCGGGGTCTGAGATGGATAGGTGCGGGGCAGTGGGCCCTGCCTGGCCTGCGGCTGCACAACCTGCGTGACTGCGTCCCCCAGAAGGGACACCTCTCCCGTTCGCCAGAGCCACCCGCACCTGGCGAGCAGAGGCCCAGTGCTGCCTCCCCCTAGCGTGCCTGGTGTCCGCCGAGTGCGACCCCACATCCGCGGCCCCCCCTCTGCCAGAGACATCAGGTCCCGGGCGAGCCGGAACGAGCACAGAGGGACAGTGTCTCAGTCTGCTCGGGCCGCGGTAACAAAATGCCTCAGACTGGGCGCCTGGTAAACCACGCTCACTGCTCACCGTCCTGGGGCCCGGAGGCCCGAGGGCGAGGCGCCCGCAGAGCCCACAGAGCCCGCGGCTCGCGAGGGCCGCTTCCCAGATCCTCTGCCCGCTGTGTCCTCACTACGGGGGCGTCCAGGGAGCTCTGGGGTCTGTGTGAGGGCGCTCATCCCGTCACGGGGCTCCATGCACCCTAATCACCGCCCAGAGGCCCCCACCACCCTGGGAGTTAAGTTTCGACGTGAGTTTGGGGTGCGGAGCACAAACGTTCCGTTTGCGGGCCGGTGCGTTTCTGCGGGCTGTTTGGCCGATGACTCGTTCGGCCCCGCGGGTCCTGGAGTCCCGGATCTCAGCCTCGGGGCCGTCCACACGAGGGTGAGACACTTGGCGTCGCCGAGGCTCCACGACAGCAGGGTGCTGCTCAGGGCCACGCTGAATCGGGGTGACTCGTGGTGGGTGGGAGCAGCGTCTGGGCTGAGAGCGCCTCATGCCCTTCAGGGGATGTTCCCTGGTGTCCCTCGGCCATCGTGGGAAGAGTTAGGAGTGGGAACAAAGCTGGCCCAGTGGGTCCCTCGCCGAAGTGGCCAGCCAGGTGCAGGAAGGGGCGCTGCCAGCTAAGGGGGGCCGTGAAGCACAGAGGAGCAGCCCCCTGCCCGCCTCGGGGTGTCCGAGGGTGGCGGGCTGAGGTCAAGGCCCACCTGCGCGGTCTGAGGGCTCACGGGTTTGGGGGCGGCTGGGGACGGTCCTTTGAGCTCCCAGCAGAGGGGCTGGAGGAGGCAGGAACCAGCCAGACACCTGGCCCGCCTGGCCCTGCACCCCTGCACCCTGCATCCAGGAAGACCCCGTTTCCTCCCGCGCCGAGCCCCGATTCCTCTCTGGATGGCGACGCTGTCCCCTCTTCCTCTGTGCGCACATCGTCCCCGTCCGCAGAGCCCAGCCCGGCTTTTCCACCTTCCATCCGAGCCCTCCCCCTCACCCCGCGGCCCCTGAAACCCGGCGGTGGTTGTCACCACGGAGGGGACCTTGGCCGGGAGTATTTTGTCTGCCTGGCGTTTGCCTTCCCTGTTCCCGCTGGCGCCAGGAGTGTGGCCCGGGCCTGGTCATTTTTCTCTTACCCCTCGGAGAGGTTAAGTCAAGGGACACGACGGTGACAGCCTGGGGCAGGAGGAAGACTGGCCATCGGGAGTGGGCTGTCGTAAATAACGTCACTTACTTATTTACAAACAAGTACGTGTAACAGATACTTGTGATACGCAGACCAATTTGTTTATAAATGTAACTCATCGTCACCAATTCTGCGGTCATCATCATATGGTTTCTGCTCGATAATTTATGTCCAGAAAGTTCTGGAACGTGGCTTACCATACTGGCTTCCCAGAATCCCCTTTGGGATGTGAACGGTGTTATAGATTCTCTCTTATGGATGGTGTGAGGCCACAGGTACAAAAAATATACCTACACTTCAAATTTTGTTACTTGAAATGAAAGTTTTGATGTGACGTCTTCTTTAAGATTACGACATGTCCTTGCGCATTTTATTTTCCCAAGTAGAAGATGGACTGATTTGCATTCATTAAAGAATTTAGATTTTAGGATTTAGAGTTTGCGTCACACCAAGTTTTTTTAGAAATAAGACTGTAACCCTTGGACACCGTCGGTTGAAATGTAACATGGTACAGAGGCTACAGAAACAGGATGGTGGTTTCCAGAAATTAAAAATAGAATCCCCGTATGATCCAGCGATCCTTCTTTGGGGATTTACCCAAAGAATCCAAAGAGATATTTCCATACCCCGTTCACAGTAGCCAAAAGGTGGGAGCAACCCAAGTGTCCATGACAGCTGGAGGGACAAACAGAACGCGGTCTGCACACACAATGGAACATTATTCACACTTAAAGAAGGAAGGCAATTCTGACATAATCCGCAGCGTGTACGAACCTTGAGGACACTGTGCCAAGTGCAACAAGCCAGTCGCAAAGACAAATCCTGTAGGTCCCTGCTCTGTGGGGCACTAGAGAAGTCGAGTGGACAGTCACGCCCTGGTGGTGCCCGGGGCTGGGGGAGGGGCAGTGGGGACAGTTTCAGTGTCGCCAGATGGAAGCAGTTCTGGGGGTGCGCCGCGGTGGGGGCGGCGCACAGCTCTGCGACTGTATTTGATGCCACTGAACTGCACACTTGAAATGGTGAGGACGGTAAATTTCAGGTTACGTCATGATAACAAATGGATGAAATGAGAAAGCACGGTTCAGATAACGTTTCAGAAGCATAAGCGTCACGCGTCGATGGCGGGAAACTGAGGGACACCCATGCGCGTGGGTGACGCGGCCGCGCGTCCCACAGGACTGCGTCCCAGGGCGTCCGTGGGCTCGCGGCTGGCTCGTGTCTCTCCGTCCGAGGACGCCGTCTTTACCTGTCCCTCCCGGTTCCCAGGTCTGCAGCAGCCCCGAGAAGCCGAGGAAGCAGCAGCGCTCCGACCTCAATGGGCCCAGTGACAACAACAACTTCCCGGAGGTCAGTTCCCGGGGACGAGGGGCCCGTCCTGTCCGCCGCCCTCTCCACGGCTCTGGCCCTGCGCCCCGCCCGGGGCCTGGGGGGGCCTCCCTGTCAAGCAGAGTCGGTGACCCTGTAGGGGGAGGGCCAAGGGCCGCAGGCCCTGGAGGAGGAGGGCCACACACGGGGGTCACTGGCCTCTGCCCACTAGACGCCAGCACCAAACTCCCTCCCCAAGTTTGTGACAACCAAAAGTGTCCGCAAACATTGCCAAATGTCCCCTTGGGGGCAGACGCCGCCCCGGCCGAGAACCACTGTTCCAGACCAGCAACGTGGTCTCGAAGGACGAGCGGGCACGTCCTTCCCAGGGCGGGATGTTCTGTCGCCGGCGGTGTGACCACGCCACCCTGGCCGCTGCCTCTCGCCCACGAGACCGCACGCTGGTAATCCAGTCGGGCGGGCGTCGGGTCCTGTGACCCCTTCGGGCAGGGGCGTGCTAGCCCGAGAGTGCCCAGGTCTCAGACGGTGGCCTTGGGACCCATCCTTAATTTTTACGGTCGCCCGTGGAGGCGCGTTTTCCCTCGGGCGGGTGACGCGCGCCCTGCCCAGCATCCTGGCGCCTGAACGAGACCGGGTCGCCGTGCGGAGCTGACCCCAGCGGGGGGCGGGGGTTGGCTTCTCTCTTTGGGGTGCCCACCTTAGCGAGACCCTACGGGCCCCCTGCTGACGACTGCTGCGCGTTTTGTTCCCCTAACAGACAAAGAAGGTGGCATCGTTTCCGAGTTTCGTGGCCGGTGAGTGACTGAATTTTGTCTCTCGGATGGAGGGGCGGGTGGGTCACAGCGCGTGGTGCTGTCACTCTGGTTTCCGTCCTGCGAAGCTCAGAGAAGCCCCCCGCCAGGGCCGAGCCATGCTGGGGGAGGCCGGGGCCTGCCGTTCGCCTGTCGGAGCCGGTCAGGGTGCCAGCCCGTGCTGGCGGGTGGGGGGGACCCCGTCGAGGGGACGGTAGGTAGGCCACCCCCCCACTTACACCCTCAGCAGCGGCCTCACGCCTGACACCGGTGGTTGAATTAATGGATTGAAACGTGTCTGTATAAGCGGCTAATTGCAATCAAACACTTTTGATGAGGGCGGATCTAATCGCGTCCGAATTTAGACTTCATTTGCCTCTGCTCTCTCCTGTCCGTTTTGAGGGGATTAATGTCGCATTTCAACATTCGCTCAAAGCCCAACCTGGCGGGCGTCTTGTGTGTCCGCCCCGTTCTGGCGTGGGGGGCCTGCCTCCCTGGCTTCGAAGTGCGCCCGGTAGCCTGGGGGCTCCTCCGGGAGGTACCCCAGTGCCACAGCAGAGGGCCTCGCACGGTCTTGTCTTTGCCAGAGGGCGTTTCCCGCCCTTGCTGGCACGTTCTAATAATAAACGACGTGAATTGTATTAATTCTCCTAATAAGCGGGCAATTAGTTTTTACGAGTGTTTGTGATAACGAGGTAAACGAATCTTTGGAAACGAGTGACTTTGGCCTCTCTTGCCCGGTTTCGATGTTTGGCTGTGTGCTTTCACGTTCATGCTTCCTCCGTTCCCACCCCCACCCCCACACCCCGCCCCCGCTGGCAGCCAGCAGCTTGTTCTCCAGACCTGCGGGTCTGTTTCCGTTTCCACGGACGAGCGAGATCAGGTGATGTCTGTCTTTCTCTGTCTGACTTACTCAGGGCGGCACCGCCTGGGCCCATCCGTGCTCCTGGGCACGTGGCAAGATTTCATTCTTTCTTATGTCCACTGCACGGACGCACTGTCTCCTCTTCATCCAGCCATGTCGTGATGGGCTCCTAGGTCAGGCCCACGGCTCGGCGATTGTAAATGACGCTGCCGTGAAACAGACGAGTGCGCATCTTTTTGAATTAGCGTTTTGGGTTTCTTCGGGCGAATAAATACCTAGAAGTGGACTTGCTAGGTCGTAAGGGAGTTCTCACTTTTCGAGGACCCGCCACACTGTTTTCCAGAGCGGCGGCGCCATTTCGCGGTCCCGCCAACAGTGGACGAGAGGTCCCTTCTCTCCCCCGGGCTCGCCAGCACGCGCCGCGTGTTGATGTGTCGATGATGCCATCCCGACAGGTGCGAAGCGATGCCTCGTTGTGGTTTCAGTTTGCCTTTCTCCGATGATGAGTGACGTGGAGCATCTTTCCACGTGTCCGTTGGCCACCCGTATGTCCTCTTTGGAAAAACGTCTACTCGGGTCTTCTGCCCATTTTTTAACTGCAGCGTTTGGTTTTTCGATGCTAAGGCGTGCGAGTTCCTCCTGTATTTTGAATATCGATCCCTTATTGGATATATCACTGGCGAATCTCTTCTCCCATTCAGTAGGCCGTCTTTTCACGCGGATGGTCTCCTCTGCTGTGCGAAAAGCTTTTAGTTTGACGTCGTCCCATCGATGTATTTTTTTCCTTTGTTTCCTTTGCCCCAGGAGACATATCAGGAAATATCGCTAAGAGCAATGGCAGAGTTTACTGCCTGTGCTTCCTCCGAGGAGTGTTACGGTTTCAAGTCGCCCATGTAAGGCTTTCATCCGTGTTGAGTTTATTCTTGCGTACGGGGTGGGAACGTGGCCCGTTTCCATGTCTTGCGCGTATCTGTCCAGTTTTCCCAGCACACGTACTGAAGAGACCGTCCCCGCCCCGTCGCACGCGCGTGCTGCCCTGTCGTAGACGGGCCGACCACACGGGCGCGGACTCACGTCTGGGCTCTTAGCCGTCGCGTTGACCTCTGTGTCTGTTTCTGTGCCCGCGCCTCTGCGTTTAGATGACCGTCGCTTCGTGGCACACACCAAAACCAAAGCGGCTTTGTTTTTCGCAAACGGAACAACATGCGATCTCGTCTTCGGCGCTCACCTGGTGTCGCCACGGGGATTAGGCGCGTTTGAAAACGGGAACTTGCATTCGTTGGTCGAG